GAATAGGTAATTGGTCTAAGACTAATGTGGAAATTAGTTGTATTTGGTGTTCCCAGCAGCCTTAGAAAATGAAGTGGGTATTGATCTCAAAGCCCTCCATTGGAGGTGCTCAGGTACACCACAGGATTTTATGAATTTTGTAGGATGCAGGGCAAGAAGACTAGGTGCCGGGTGGAATTTTTTTGTGCTACACGGAGTCTTCATCATCCAGAGTGTCTACTCCCCTTATCTTATCAAAATACAAGAATACATCTTAATCTTCTTGGGCTAATCTTTGCAGTTCTTTTGACATACATGCTGGCTTTTGGGGGGTAGGTTTGTTTGTTTGTTTGTTTGCTTTTTACAATTTAAGTTTATCAGTGAATTCCACAGTTCCACATAGTTGAATTCCAGAGCTAAGGGTGACTGGAGATGATCAGAGATCCTGAGCAATGGGCAAAGGGAAGAGATGCTGGCCAGCAATTTCTAGTGGAGCCAAGACTGTGAGTTTTGGGCCGGCCTGAGCTGTCTAGAGAGATCCTGTGTCAAACGGCAAAGCTGACAGCACAAAGTAAAACAGAATTAGTGGAGGTCTGGGGCAAAACCACACAGGAACAACTCACAAAGGAGTGGTCACTGTTTCTTAATGGCTTCTTGGAAGAAAAAGAAAATTTCCCAGTCAGCCTTCCTGAGAAAATACAGGAACTGGGTCATAGTCTGCGAGAGGGTAACATTTCCTGGGAACAGGACCGTACTCTGCTGAGGCCAGCAGTCCTTACCTTGTAGGTCTTCTTAAAGAAAAACAACGAGTTGAGATAAACTGTCCTGGGATCCTGCCTTGCCTTTGTGCTGTGGAAAACACTTGCTAGTCCAGTTTGGGAGGCTCCCCGTTCAATTTAGAAAATCAGAGGAACCCTCTGCTAACTGCCGGTGGGACCCTTTGTAGGTCTGATGTCCGGGGAGAAAGCCCAAAGCTTTTCAACTTCTTCCCGTGCCCTGGGATGTCAAGTGCTGCTCACCTTTCTCCACATGGCGCACGCGCAGCCCTTGCAATTCACTGATGCCTCTTGGGCTCCACTACGCCCATTCCTGAGCGTTTCGTTCAGGGGAGTCAGCGTATCAGGAGAGCCTGGCAATGCGGTGTGAGTGTCTGGGCATCTGGTTACTGACAACTAAACTCCAGGTTATCATAACTCCTAAACCGTCGGGCTGCTAAGAACTCCTAAAACTCTTAAGCCGTGTGGAAACGCAGAACATTCTGGTTATTGGTTATTTGTAGGAAATAGCTTATTTCTAGAGGAGTGGAGTAGAGTGCCTTTTAGGTTTCGGCTGATCTTGAGCAAGGACTTTGGTCGTCTCAGGCTCCGTCTTTTCAATTGGTCTGCTTCCGAACAGGCTGCTCCATCCCCACTTACTGATCTAACTCCCTCTTCAGTCTGCAGCATCCAGAGAAAGCTGTTCCTCTGCCCTATCACAGCCCCTCTCCACCCCTTCCTTCTTGGCTTTCCTGCTAAATGAATACTTTCTCACAAGGCTGTAAACTGTGGATTTAAAAAAAATAGGAGTAAGATGCCGATGTCCTCAGGGCACTCTAAGAGGTACGGAGCGCGAAGACGCTTCGGTGCTCTAGCTGAGGTCCATAATCGGAGCAGCGCCCCACGGGAGATGCATTTGAGCTAGCTGTAGAAGGGTAATCAAGGAGAACCCAGACGAACGTTGGCCTGGCCTGAATCCTGAAGCATAAGGAAGTGTGAACGAAACAGACGGACAGGTGCGGGGTGTCAGTGGTTTCTTAAGGAAGGAGTACATCCTGCCTTAAGGCCTGATTAACAGGACCCCCCATTGGCGCGTCTCCCGTCCACACACAGCGTAAGAACACAAGAGCAAGGGTAAGAGTGGTAAGTTTGATAAAATCACTTTAGTTAATTTTACCTTTGATTCTTCTCTCACAATGAACATTGTTTAATTAAAAGAACACATACACACGATCACACGATTTTGAAAATCAAATGACAGTGTTGGGGTGTGACGGCACACCCCTGGAATTCTAGCATTCGGGAGGCAGAGACAGAAGGGCCACCATGGATTTGAGGCTAACCTGATCTATACAATGTGTTCCAGCCCAGCCAAGGCCTACCACGGTAAGACCTTGTCTCAGAAAACAAAAAGAAATAAACAAAAGAATGAAATCAAACAAAACAGCAGTTACAGCCTGGCTTGCTACTCTACCCCATTCCAGGGGGTCAACCAGGTTTTACCCTTTCTCAGAGGATCTCCTGTTTTAACTGCTTGTTAGTCCTGTCTCTATCTAGTGACTTTTTATCCTGGTATTTAGGGAAACGCTATCTCATATCGTCTGTGTTTTTACCCTGAAGGCACTGGACAGCTAGGAAAGGCATGAAACAGAAGTCATGTGGTAATGCTCACACTTCCAAAAGATGGGTCTTGAAATTTGGAGGGGAGGGGAGTACAGGGGTGCAGGGTAAAGAAGATGATAGGCAGCAGTGTGTCTGCCTGAAGGCATTAGGTCCTGTGAAATGAAAGAAAAGGAGCATCGAAATAACCAAGGGGCAGAACAAACAGGAGCTGAGACTGAGTGACTGTGGTAACTTAGTGACAGTTGACCAAGCACAGCCTCGATGCCCAAACCTTTTCTTAAGAACAACAAATCTAAAGAACTAGGGATTAGATGTTTAATTTAGGCAGCACATCTTGAGTACAATCCCTAAAGAATAAAATTCTAAAACTTAAAAAGGCACACTCATTATTTGTTTGGGCTTAATTATAAGGAGGCTTAGAATAGCTAGTGAAGAGGGGCCATCACTTCCTGAGCCGCCAGAGATGTATCACTGAAATCAAGGTCTCTTTCTGCAGCTTTAGAGCACTGCCATTTTCCTAATGCTGTAAAAATGACCACTATACACAAAAAGAAGTGTCAGTATGAAATGCTTTAAGTGCCCAAAACAATATTACTATGACACAATGCACACACACACACACACACACACACACACCATTGAAAATAGAGTTTTTAAAAACAACAATAACCAAAAAAACCTTTCTCCTCTCTCTCACTTTCTCTATCTCACTCTCTCCTACTTATTTATTTAACTGGTCTTGAAGGACAGAAAGGAGTGGGCTCACAGAAGACCCCACACCCTGCAGCCTGATTTAAGGGAGGGGGCTCTTGGAGAAAGGGCAGCCATATCATGCCTGCAACTCAAGGAAAAGCTTGCAGTTTCTGGATGCCTATCTGACTGCTGAATTCATGTAGGGGAATGCCTACATTTAAAGGAATCTGCTGAATAAGCAAAGAAGGGCTGATGGAGGTGGGTGAGCCTGAGCAAGAGAGACTGTTCATATGCTCACGAGTTCCCTGACTTTCATCTGAAGGACATAGATGGTGTCATTGCTTCCCTGACCTCTAGGGGCACTCTGATCTTCACAGCTCTGTCTTCAAGATAGGGCTCACAGACTCCCTTCTTTCAAAACAGTGTCTCCAGTTGTCTAAGCTGGACTGGAATTTGTCACGTAGTCAAACAATGGGGTTGAACTCCCAACTCTCCTGAATCTACCTCTGGGTTCCTGGGATTTGGTCTTGAACTCAAAATCCTTCTGCCTCCACCTCTCGGTTACTGGGATTATAAGCTTTTAATACCAGACTTGTCTCAATGTCTCTTCTTAACTGAAACAAGGAAAGATTCATGGGTCCTGACCCCTTTGGAGTGATCAAATGACACATTCACACGGGTCATATAGATTGTCCTGCGTATCAGATAGTTACACGGCAAATCATAGCAGTGGCAAGACTACAGTTATGAAGTAGCAACGAAAGTAATTTCATGGTTGGGGTCACCACAACATAAGGAACTGTATTAGGGCCACAGCATTAAGAAGGTTCAGAACCACTGGTCTAGACCTATATGCCAACATACAAAGGTTTAAAAAGAAATTTGATAATTGTGCAAGAACAGATTCACTTGTCTGATTTCTGTATTCAAAGTTATTTCTACAGTTAATGTGCTTACTGTTTATTTTTCCACTTACCTACAGTCTAAACGTGAAATGGATGGTTTGCAGTAAGATAGGTGATCAGTAGTAAAAGGACAGTTTGTGAAATGAGTTTCAGTGGAGAAGAAAGTGAGTTCATATAGCTCCAAGGGCTGAGGATAAGAACAAAACCAATGACCAGCAAACAATGAACTCTGGAGCAGCCCCAAAGCTGCTTTAATTTGCTGGACTTAGGTATAGAATTCCATGTTTAAATTGTCTGCACATGGTTTTATTTTTTTCCCAATAAACAACCCAAAAACTTTCTCAAGTGAGGTCATGACTTCTCAGTAGGTAAGTGTCATGAACGAAGAATTTCATCCTCAGATCTGCAAGGTCTCACTAGAGAGAGTAAGCTTGGGGTCAACAGTGGCCCCTGAATTCTGAGATATGCTTATAGTATCGTAAATGTGAGTACAAGCCACAGTGAGATTGATGCAGTTGGATTCTTTCCATGGCAGAAACCATCATCACCATCTCCTAGATCCTCTTACTCACTTGGCATGCTTTGTTGTTTTGTTTGTTTTGCTTTGCTACTTCATTAGACAAGGTTTCACTATGTGGCCCAAGCTGGTCTTGGATTTGTGGTCTGTTGTTCTGCTTCAGTGTCTTGAACACTGGCATTGCAGGCAGGTACCACCATGCCCAGTGTTTCATTTGGTCATTTTGATGCTTTGAAATGCTGTCTCAGCTGCTCAATACATATGGAAATTGCCCCTCACAACATATATAAAGAAGAAGCATTGCCGCAGAGTAGATCAAGTCATTAGCACATAACAGTATAAGAAAACTTTGCACACATAAACTCGTGTTCTGGTCACAGAATTAGCCAGAGTAGAAGTTACAATGGGGTGATGATGATAGCAGTAACAAGAGCTCTTCCTTGTCTTGGACACAGCTCTAGACAGCAGGCACCAAAAGTTATAACTCTTCACATTAGGAAATACTTATACCCTGATCTCCTTCCACAGGAAGCATATGTGACTTACCAGGACAATGTCCGACTGGTGGGGGAGCTGGTGACAGTCATGGGAGCTGTGGTTATTCTATTTCTAGAGGTGAGGCGCAGGGGGTCTGGGATAAAGCCATCCATCTAGGTCCCATCTTGAATTGCAGTCAATATTTTCTTATTGCTTTGCCGTCTTTCCCTAGATACCGGACATCTTCAGGGTTGGCGCCTCTCGCTACTTTGGACAGACAGTTCTCGGGGGACCATTCCATGTCATCACGTGAGTGTCCTTTTCCTTCTTTCAATCAAGCTCTGGTTTCATTTACTAGAATCTGTCAGGTCTCCGGTTAACTTGTTGAGGCCTAGATATCAAGTGACACTCCAGGGATTCCAGCCCAGTAGATCCACATCTTTGCATTTATGTGTGTGTTTTGCTGTTAAGGCTTAGCCTGAATGCGTGGGTGCTAGCCAAGTCACCATCATGCTACAGCAGATGAGGATATTCCCAGCTCATACCTCTTTTTTTTTTTTTTTTTTTTTTTGCTTTCTGTTCCGGCTTCAGCATCAGCTATGCCTCCCTTGTGCTGGTGACCATGGTGATGAGGCTTACCAGTGTGAACGGGGAGGCTGTGCCCATATCCCTGGCACTGGTGTTGGGATGGTGTAGTGTCATGTATTTCGCCCGAGGATTCCAGATGCTGGGTCCCTTTACGATCATGATTCAGAAGGTCAGTTGTTTCCCAAACCTCCTGATGATTGGGATACAGGGCCCTCATAGATGGAGGGGGGGGCTGCAAAGGAAAATTGCTGCTCGGAGCCTAGCGGGAGGCATCACAGAGATATTCAGATCTGTCAGCAACAGCTGCTCAGTGACAGTGGAGAAAGAGTCACCCCATCTTCCTCCCCTTCTTTGTTTCCTGTAGATGATTTTTGGAGACCTACTACGCTTCTGCTGGCTGATGGCTATGGTCATCCTGGGATTTGCCTCAGGTAATGGCACTATTTCCAGACTGTTAGTTAGATGCATATCTTCAGAAATTTGACTCTGTTATCACTTTAACTTGATTTCACTGTTGTTGTTTCCTATTGGAAAAATCAGTTTAAAAACACACCTTTGTTCGTAGAAAGGGACCACCCAGGTTGGCCTGGAAGGTAGACTCGGGTTTCTGAGCCATCAATATTCATGTTGGCTAACTGTTGCCACAAGCCCTTTAAAGGAGTATTGGAGAGAGACAGTTGTAGATACTTTAAATACTATCTGTGCAAAAAATAGGGACGATGCCATGTTGAACTCTGCTATGCTTGCAGTTCTGAATAAAAGGCACTCAATAAAGCACAAAGTGCCCTCTTTCTATACGTAGTCATTTAAAATACGGAAAATGGAAAACACCGTCAAACGGAGCTGCATAACAAGAGTTTGGAGAGCCTGAGACATGGCAGAGAGTGTCGTGTCAGGGAAGAGCCGTGTTGAGAGACTGAGAGAATGGGGACAAACAGGTACAGCGAGGGATGCCAAGAAGTACAGAAAAGCCCAGCACGGGAAGTAAAAGCCAACAGACGAGCAGAGGGAGCACTGGCAGACACAAGAGAATTCAGGTTCACAGGAAGAAGACCCAGGTCTGACTCGTGAAAAACTTGCAATTCTAACTCAGCCTTCCGTGTCTGTAACTGGTCACCCACTTAGAGAAGAGGGCACATGAGAAAAAATGATCTCCGAAGAACCCTGCCCCCATCGCTACAGAACCCCGTCACTACCTCTAGAAATTTCTCTATTCGATGAGGCTCCCCACAAAATGATAGATTAAAATACATACATACATACATACATACATACATACATACATACATACATATGGACCTTTAGTGTGAAAGGATCAAACTGGACGTCTGTATGGAGCATTCTATCCTGTGAGGCCTCATGTAAGTTTTCTTCCTTCTCCCTACTCTAAATTTACCCATGAACATACTGCAATTAGCAGAGCAGTTGTTGTTGCCTAAAGATGTCCTACACCTCTGATCCCCTCAATGATCACACGTGATTTTGCTTGAGGAAGTGAGTATTTCCTACAGATTCTTTTGTGGGCTCTTGGGATCCCCTTGTCATACACTTGAGTACCCCATGCAATAAGAAGCCATTTAAAGCCTTCTTGCTGTTGTAAGGGTCCAGGATAGCCTGCCATATGGTAGGCTGTACACCCACGAGACAGCTTTTCCGTGATGATCAAAGCTGGCCTAGCAAGTCTCAGAGTAATGAGTGGTTATCTGGAAGTCTTGAAGATTAAAAAAGTGCTCTTCTGTTATCATGTGCTAGGCCTTTTGAAATCGTTGGAGATTCAACACATTCTGTTAATAACTTATCTTTCAAATATTTGGTTTTTCAAAGTGTAATAATCTGTTAGGCAACTTATTATACATACACATACACATATACTTCTTCCTGACGAATGGCTGAGTGTTATCATTACCCAGGACAGTGAACTTCATTTAGTCAGGATTCTTAGGTTTACCCAGTTTTGAGGTAAGCCTATTGTGGATGCATAGTGGTGTGCATTTATGTGTAAATAATGGAGCTATGCAGACCAGAAGCAGGACTCATTGTAACCAAATCCATACTTATTGTGACAATTTCATTCCCCACTTCTATCTTCCTGGGCGGAGCAGCCTTCTGTATCATTTTCCAGACAGAGGACCCAGAAAATCTAGGGGAATTCTCCGACTACCCCACAGCACTGTTCAGCACATTCGAGCTCTTCCTCACCATCATCGACGGCCCTGCCAACTACAGGGTGGACCTGCCTTTCATGTACGACCTCACCTACGCCGCCTTCGCCATCATCGCCACGCTCCTCATGCTCAACTTGTTCATTGCCATGATGGGTGACACTCACTGGCGAGTGGCCCAGGAGAGAGATGAGCTCTGGAGGGCGCAGGTGAGTCTGTCAGGATCTGGATTGAAATACTATTACAGTGACATGTGTTTATTTTGAACCACTCTTAGTGGAGTCCCAGAGCAGCTCCAAGAGGCTATCGTTTTAGTTACGTTTATGTAAATCTGAAGTATGTGCAGATGGATGGAAGGGGCAGAAGAATGATAGAATGGGGGATCTAAGCATGGAGTTGGGCTATTTATTACAGGCCAAAAAAATGTATCCAGGAATCTTTGAATCCACAGGGAACAAGAATATTTTGTTTTTATGTAATGTGGTTCTTAGACATTCTCTTCTACTGGATTCTATAAATCCCTAAATCCCTTTTATATTTTTTCTCTGTTTCACAGTAAGCTAATCAAATACTAGAGTTAGAAGCTATGTTCCAAAGACTGCTAAGTAATTGAGCTACATCTCCACATAATTATGTATCAGTGTGAGAGTCACTCAGTATATTATTTAGTCTAATTATGACCTTATTATTTTTGTGTATTTGAGTAAGGTTTCAGAGAATGGGAGTTTTCTAGATTGTGAAAACTTTATTATTAAAAGCATCCATATCTCAGTGAACTAAAACCTATGTTGCCATATTTCTACTCTACAGTTTCAGACTTTTTCCTCCTAAGCATCAGAGAGCACATATCTTTCCACATGAGTGCTATATAAATATTTGAATATAACCAATGTTTACACTTCAGATAACTGTATAGCGGGTATGTAGCAATAGTCCTCAAAAGCCTGTTAAATGTAGGGAGGTGTCGAGGAGCTGGGACACAAACTTAGCCAACGAGACATCGTAGGCCCTCCAGCTGAAGTGCCAAACTATAGAAAAGACAGGCACTAAGTAAATCATTTCACAAGGGGCTGAAAACTCATGGAAGTAAAATTGCCACAGAAAAGTGTGCCATGCTAAGAAGAGGTGCAACTGAGGAATTTAAGTAGAAAGTTAGAAAAATGCTTTTTATGGAGGGAGAAATGTTTAAGACAGATGCAAGGATGGCTAGGACTAGCTAGCTGAGGAGAACAGTGCAACAGGTACAAGTCTGGATTTATATCATTGAGGGTGCATGACCACAAAGAGAAACAAACCAAACCCACACAGTTTTGTTTTGTTTTTTTTTGTTTTTGTTTTGCAACAAGATGAGGTGGATGAGCTGATCCTCATAACTGGGAAGGTTAAAATGTCAAACTAGATGTGCAATCTGTCTAGAATTCAGCCTCTACCTTACACATCCCTTCGGTTTCCTATTCTACCCACTCAGCTTGACTCTCTTTTCTAAGACAAATCACCCCACGTTGACAGCTTCTAAGAAGTGGAAGGCACTGACAGGAAGGGAATGGGGGCAGGGTACACGTCTTTGAACAGTTCTAAAGGTCCCATTCAAGTTGCATCCTCTGACTCTTCCAACATTGTACAACAATGCAGGCTTTAAAGGAATGTCTTTGGGCTAGAGATGTAGCCAGATAGTAGCTAGGGTTTCTATTAGTTAGGGTTTCTATTGCTGTGAAGAAACACCATGACCATGGCAACTCTTATAAAGGAAAAAAAAGCATTTTATTGGGGTTGCTTGCATTTTCAGAGATTTAGTCCAGTGTTATCATGGCACCGCATGGTGGTGTACAGGCAGACACCGTGCTGAAGGAGTTGCTGAGAGTCCTATATCTTGACCCACAGGCAACAGGGGGTGATCTGAGTGACACATTAAGTGAAGCTTGAGCAAAGGAGACCTAAAATCCCACCCCCACAGTGACACACTTCTTCCAACAAGACCACATCTACTCCAACAAGGCCATCCCCCACAATAACGAGCTTATAGCAATCAATTACATTCAAACGACCACCCCTAGCATGTCCAAGGCTAGAGGGTGAGTTCTCAACGCCTCAAAAACTAAAACTGAAAAGCATGTTTGAGCCCAGCCAATCCATTCTAAGTTCCACAGGATTGTAACAAAGTTTAGGTGAAAGCCTTATTTTGGAACTTAAGGCAAGGCCAAGTGCTGGGTACTGGAGGCAGTGGGGACAGTAAGAAGGAGATGCCCCTCTTCTCCAGTCTGTTAGGAAGAACTGACCCAACTGTCCAACCCCATCCACCCTGGCCAGTTGCTGAAAGCGGTTAGATCATAAGCCAGAACGAAAAAAGATAGGCTTGCGTTGCCAGAGCAAAGGGGTCAAGGGGAAACTAAACGAAGAAGAACCGTGAATACGCATTTTGGAGGGGAGAAGAACAGCTATCCAGAAGAGAGTCAAATGCTTGGAAGGGAGACGGGAGAGAACCTGGTACAACCAAGGGACCAAGAGAAGGGAAGGCAATTGTCGCTGTAACGATAAACGGCACTCTTGTTGAGGGCATCGGTAACTGTTTATTGTTACAAGAGAAACCAGGCAACCCAGATGAGTCAAGTAGCCTTCGTTACCGAAAGCTACCCGGAACGAATGTGGTTCTGCTGCAGTCTTTTATAAGAACCTCCGTACACGCCTCCAGCCCCGCCCAAAAGTGGGCCTGGCTAGCGGCGTAGTTCACCGCCCTGTCTCTAGTCATGCCCGAAGTGGGTGTGGTTAGCGGTGCAGTTCCGCCCTTTCGTTACCACATCCGTATGCGCCTCTAGAGCAACATGTGGCTAATGGTGCAGCCCTAAGTTTCCTCCTACAGACCACTAGGGAGAACAGAAAGATGTGTCACAGAAAGCTGGCTATTTTAGGGATTGATAGCTCCTCACATCAATAATCTCCTGTCGCCAACCCATCTACTGCACTCAAAGTCCTTGTGATATGGAGCAAGAGGCTTTTCCTTATTATGGAAGAAACAATACTCATTGTCAGTGACGTGTATTATGGATCAGTTTTTCAACCAGATGTACAACTGGCCACTCTAGACTCACAATGAACTATAACCCTTGGTTTTTTTTTGTTACATTAATGAGCCAAACTCCTTAAATGTAAGGGTAACACTACTCATTTTGTTCTGTTAATTTTTTGTGTTGTTGGCTTTGGGGAAGCATTCCCATTTGGTGAAATCATTTTATATTGCTTTTGTCACTCCACTTATTATGTATCCCTCCCAGTTTTGTGTCACAGGCACATTTGATAAGCTTGATGTCTGTTTCATCTAGCTAACTAATGAGGGCAGGACAAAGGACAGAACATGGAACATACTGCTGGAAACTTCCTTGCCTAGTACACAGACATTAATCAAACCTTTTACTTCTTAAGAAATGGATTTTTAACTTGTCAGGGAGTCCCTGAATTGGAGCCACCTTGTTTCTCATTTCTGACATCATGAAGAGTCTACTTCATCATTCTGTTTAAGTCAATGGCACTGGTTTGCAGCTTTCCTATGGGAGGTGGGGAGGAAATCACTTTAGTTTTGGATGACTCACTTTCTGTGAATATGAATAATGATATAGAAATAATTGTTCTATTTAAAAGTACCCTCTGTCCTGTTTTGATGAGACAGCCAAGTTAGCATGACTTCTGGGACTAGCGTAGATATGGGTGCACAGTGGCCCTTACCACTGGCCTCCGGGGTCTTCATTGAATGGGTAGGTTTTTTTGGTTCCTTCTTTGGTGACCGTGGTGTCTCTCCAACCCTTGTAACTCCTTCTGAGGTCTTTTGCTGCCTCATTTCCTTCTAGGTTGTGGCCACCACAGTGATGCTGGAGAGGAAAATGCCTCGCTTCCTGTGGCCCCGATCTGGGATCTGCGGTTGCGAGTACGGCCTGGGGGACCACTGGTTCCTACGGTGAGTGACAGTATGTGTGTGAAGCCTGCAGGTGCAGTCTCTGAGATGTAACCAGGAAATGTCATGGCAGTTGCATTCTGTTGCTGGGGCAGAGTGAGAGGGAGGTGAAGAGTCAGTGGGGATGGAGGGCTGAGAACACAGTAGGCAGCTGTGTTTACTACAGGGCAGTGGTGTGTGGAACGGTATGCACACAGACGTGTAAACGCTCAGGACAACGGGTTGTCCGGTTGTTTTCCACCCGTGTTTACTCATGTGACTTCCTTATCCTCGGTTCCAACACACTTTGGCCTCGATTCTAGCCTCTTCCTTCATAGGCAACCCTTATCCCCTGACCTGGCTCTCCTCATGGGCACTCAGATCTCTCTCTGTCTCTCTCTGTCTCTCTCCCTCTCTCTCTCTCTCTTTGTCTCTCTCTCTCTCCTCTCTCTCTGTCTCCTCTGTCTCTCTCTGTCTCTCTCTCTGTCTCTCTCTGTCTCTGTCTCTCTCTCCTCTCTCTCTCTTTGTCTCTCTCTCTTTGTCTCTCTCTCTCTATCTCTGTCTCTCTCTCTCTCCCCTGTCATGTTGCCTCATACAGTGCCGCCTGTGCCCTGTTACTCTCCATAGCTGACTTCCTTACGTCTCTCACCTCATTCTCAGATTAACTTTCACTCCGTTCTCTTCCGGGGGGGGGGCCCTCCATCCTAGATGCTCTCACTGCTTCAGTTCCTCCTTTTGTTTCCGAGCGTCTCGTTTCCTCCACATTCACCTCTGCTTCTCTCCGTGACCCACTTCCCCTCAGCTCTCACGAGTCTTTTCTGTTTCCTCCAAGGGTTGAGCACCACCATGACCAGAATCCTTATCGAGTGCTTCGCTATGTGGAGGCTTTCAAATCTTCAGACAAGGAGGAGGTACAAGAGCAGCTATCTGAGAAGCAGCCTTCTGGGACTGAGACTAGAACTTTACATAGAGGCTCTGTGGTCTCGCAGACGCCCCCTCTGTCCAGGACTACATCCCTAAGCAGCAATAGCCACCGTGGCTGGGAAATCCTCCGTCGAAATACCCTGGGCCATTTGAATCTTGGACTAGACCTTGGAGAGGAGGATAGAGAGGAGATCTACCATTTCTGAAAAGTATTCTGTTTCTTTAGATCTAGCCCCAAGTGGGCCAAGACACGGGAAAAGGGAGGGGTGGGGAGGAAGAGAGGCAGAAAGAAGGAGTGAGCTGGTTCTCCAAGAATCGCACTTCTGTGGTTGTGAGTGGTGGGAGGGTACAGATAGAGTATTCTTTAAGGAGCGGTAAATCACCCTTCACATTTCAGCATTTGTAGATGGGCAGTGGTCACCTGCTGTTGTACACACCTTATGGGTTCCTCTAAGGCTCACATCTTCAGAAACTGGCAACTGAGCACAAGAGATGAGGACACTGGCATCTTTGATTGACATTTGGACAATCTTTCTTATGCTTTGAACAGAAGATAGAAAGCAGTACGCCACAAGACTTGCCTGATTCCTCAATGCTTAATGTGAAAAGAACCATCGTGACGCCAAAGTCAATCCTATTTCTTTACCCTCCTTGGGACTCTCTCCTCCAACTAGCAACCAAATCCTGAGTAGAAAACTACAAGAAAAAAAAGAGTTCCTCATCCTGTGGCCTTTAATTTTTCTTATGTCAAAATGTATATATCATAAAATTTATCGTTTTAACTATGTTCAGTATAAAGTACATTCAGACTATTGTGTAAGCATCACTATGTATAAGCATACAAAAGTTTTTCATCTTCAGACACTGGAATTCCTACCCACTGAAAAAAATGCCTCTCCACTGTTCCTTCTCTTTAGTCCTCAGTAAGCCATTATTTTACTTCCTGCTTAGGAATTTATTGTAGGTACTTTATCTAAGTGGGATTGTACAAGGCCAGGTCCATTGTGCTCGCCTTGTTTCATTTACTATAATAGTTTCAAGGTTTCTTCTATTCTGTAAAAGTATCAGCATCTCATTTCTTTTTTTAGAGTGAATGTACACACACCTCACCTTGTTTATCAGTCTGTCTGGAAAAGGTTATTTATGGATTTTCCTATCTTCTGCCTCTTGTGAATGTTGATGCTATGGAAATGAGTGTATATGTCTATAGACGTTCATGTTTTTAATTGTTGGATGTTGGTGAGGTTTATGTGCCTAAAAATCGAATGGATGGATCACACAGCAACCGCATGTTTAATTCTTTAGACAAACCACCATGTTGTTTTCCATAATGGCCTTCAGCATTTTGTAAAGTCCTGATACTGGGTGTGAAATGCTATCTCATTGTAGTTTTGATTTGCCTTTCCCTAAAGTCTAAGGATATTGAGTGTCTTTTCATGCTCTTATATATGGAATTGGTTTGTGTGTGTGTGTGTGTGTGTGTGTGTGTGTGTGTGTGTATGTATGTAAGACATTTTTATTACTTCAGTGAGACAGAAGGACACAGAACATGAAACATATATCGGGGACAAGCTAAATGCAATGCGAACACAACCTGAGAGGAAATACCACGGCTTCTCCTGCAACATTACCGCCATGGGCTCTGGAAGCATGGAAGTCTCTAGCACTGAGATGAGAATGGTTGGCCTGTGGTCTGCACTATCATTTAGATTTTCCAAAAGTGGGCATTCAGACTCCAGACAAAGCTGACCTAGGCCCACAGGATTAAATATAACATAGATGGAATCATTTCTATCAGCGTGCAGCATTCTTCTCTCCGGAGGCTCAGAGTCTGAGACGTTTGCATCTCCCTTGTATCCTGGTGTTTTACGAGTGGTGGAACATGTCTTCCTTTATTCGAATGGCCCAATCAATTCTTCCATAGGACTGTCTCCGCTCTATCCTTTAGGTGATCCTCTGCAAGTTATCATCCTTGATCTTGAAAACACGGGCTGTGTTTATATTGAGGATGTCATGACCCACAGTCTTCTTCCTTCACTTTTACACTGGGCTGTGAAGCAGACAGCAGTAATACTGATCTGGCCATTCCTACATGGAGGAAGCCTTAGGGCCAAGTGTCCAGAGCATCCTTTGCAGAGGCTGATACATAGCATCTTTCTTGTCTCCAACCCTTATGTCTCATCTCCTATCATCGTCTCTTCCCATCAAAAAGCCGAATATGCTGCTGGAGACAGCAAAGAGATCCGTAAGACCAGGAAAATTTCAGACAGGCGCATTCCACATTTTCAAAGCTGTATGCCCAACAGTGAGCTCTCACAAAAACGTATGCATACCTTTGATGGTATGGCAGCAGCTAACAGGGCCTTGAGTCATCACGGTCCAGTTTCACTCTCTTTCCCAGTGGAAGCCCTTTCACCTCGTGTGTAGTCGAACTGTGTCTGCGTGATAAGTGGTCCCAGCGCCGGTTTATTTTGCATTCCCAGATGCCATCGGTGTGGCCGTCACTGCGACTCCCGGCCCCTTCTCACTTGGGTCCATCTCCCTCTCCGCCGCTCCTGCCAGCTGTGTCACTTAACACACCCCTTCCAATCGGCTTCTCCACTTAACAGCTAGCTGCCCTATCGTTTTTTATTCCCCGTTCAAAGTCAAGCTTCTGAAGAGCTGATTCTGTTATCTGCTGACTTCCACTGATCCTCAAGCCTTTGTGATTTGATCTGGTCCTCTCCGGGCTACTGATTCTGCTCTTGTTATCTCCCTGAAGGTAAACCCCCGCTCAGTCACCTCAGTTTGTGTTGAGCTCCGTAGATTACAACAAGACTATTCAACACTCTTCACAGTCCTGCCTGCCTGGGTGCTTTTGTTTTATCACTCCCTGGAATAACTTTGGTCCACGGGGCTCTTTGTTTCCCGTCACATAGGTAGCACTGCTTGCTACAGCAGAACACCATGTATCAGCTCACGAGTGGATTCGGAAGGGCCTATCTTCAGCTCTGACCTGTCTGTCTTCTGAGCTCCAGGCATAAGTCACTTAGATACTCAACTGACACTTGCTCTACTTGGGTATCTTATAGGCTCCTCAAGCTTAGCATGTCCTAAATTGGGAAGTTTTTCTTCCTCACCAAATCTTCTTCTCTGCTAGTCAGAATAACAGGCAAGGTTGCCTAGACCACAGCTCTGGGCATCAATCTTAATTCCCTGTCTCAACCCTCATATCTAGCACTTTCAAGACCAATGGATAGAAAGTCCATTACTTTACTTTAAAGTAACTAATTCTAATTGAGTTTTTCTGCTACTGCCTCAGTTCCTTATATATTTTCTCTGCGTTATTTACTTATAAACATTTGTTATGTATGCTGCCAAAGATATCTTCAATGTGACCAAGCATTTGTATGAGCACATTTCTCTTAAAAAAAATCAAAGTATGGTATGTTAGAAAATCATCTCTTTCTTTTCCTTATGAGACATGTTGTGAAGAACAGCTTTGTATCATTGTAACATTAGAAAACGTGCTTCCAAACAAGGTGTAATGGTATACACCTATAGACCCAGAACTCAGGAGAGAGTGACAGAGACAGGAGACATGTACGTTCAAAGTTAGCTTGGGCTACACGGTGAGACCCTGTTTCAAAACTCAAAGAATCAAAAAAAACTTTGTTTTGCCCTTTTTAAACTGTTGCCACTCTCTAAAGCAGGCCACCAGCATCTTACTTCTGCATGACAAGATCGTATTTCTGCCTGCTCTGTTTGCGTACGGTCTTCATCTTCTCCAGTCCCTAGTCTGCATCACCTCCAAAACTTGATTGTCAAATACAACCCCTGCCTCAAATGATTAGCTTTTATTTCCTGGATAGTACTTCTCCCCTTTTGATGTGACTTTACAGATTTTTTACCTTCTGTACCTAGTCTCCTTCAGCCTTTGTAACTTTTTATTTATCTTATTGCCATCTGCTTAAAGATTGTACATCGGGTGTGTGTGTGTTTGTGTGTATGTCTGTGTAAGTGTGTTTGTATATATGTCTGTGTGTGTATATCTAATCCCTGATCCAGAGGGAAATTGGAACACACCCATTTTGTTTCTAGACCATTTGTATATTTCCTTTTATGTGTTATTGATTTGCACTTTATTGTACTTATTTGGCATCTGGTTTCCTTACTAGACAATAAGCGTCACAAAGACAAAACAGTGTTCATAGTATTCACTATTGTGTTCTCAGGACCTTGTACAATTCCTGGTACTGTGTATTATGAAATAAATATTCATTAACTGAATCTGTAAATGGTAGACCTGCTTTAAGTTTTACTGGACACACACGCAGCTTTGTTTTGTCTTTCTTCTTCCCTCTTGCCGAGGTCATAATAAAGATGAGCATAACAAGAGTGGAATGTCCTGAAAGGATTAAAAAATGGAATTTTTTACTGGTAATTTTTATCAACTTAAATATTCTTCCAGGTGTAAGTATACACATTTGTACAAGAGACAGAAAGCAGAGGAAGGGAGACTAGGACCCCAGGGTTTGGTTTTGGTTTTGGTTTTGGTTTTTCCAGACACAGTTTCTCTGTATTGTTTTGGAGGCTGTCCTGGAACTCGCTTTGTAGACCAGGCTGGCCTCGAACTCACAGAGATCCGCCTGCCTCTGTCTCCCGAGGGCCGGGATTAAAGGCGTGCACCACCAACGGCCCGGTGACCCCAGGGTTTTTAAGGAAAGAGGAGGAGACATGAGGAAGACTCTCACAGTGGGTCTCTGGATGGAACTTTTGGAACCTACCTACGGGCGATGCCCTCTGTGAGAAAACATTTGGATGAGCTAAGAGTTTCCAAGTCTATCCTCAAGGGCTCAAGAGAAGGAGATAAAATGCAGAGTGGTACCACTCTGCAGATGTGGCAGATGCCCCATGGACAGAGGGGTTAAATCAGGGAGCAGGTGTTCCTACGCTTCTTGCTTCCTGGGCTCCAGAGAGAGAGAGCAAAGAGCGGGAGTAAGAGAAACCCTGCTGTTCTTTCCTAGGGAACTGTCCCAGTGAGTCTGCAAGGGGCTCCCCTTTTCCCCCCTCCTGCCCTGCCCCCTTCCCAGTTCCTTCTGAAGAGAATGCAGGAAACGCTTGCCCCTGCATGCCTCACAGGCCAGAGGCAGGGGAGGGATGAGGATGCCGTGTTTCCACAGGTGTCACTGAACTTAAAGATGTTTGTAAAGCATGTTATGGGCTTGACTGGGCTCTGGGTGCTGGTGAGGCAGGAGAGCTGCACCTGAAGAAAGGCTGGCTTCCGTGTTGGGATAAAAGGCCAGAGGTCAGTGCACCTTCAGTGGTGTCGCTGTACATAAAGAAAGGCGAGATAAAATATGAGGGACGGCAACTGAGGGGGACGGACAGAAGACAGAGGAGGGAAAAACGGGTGGCTGGTTAATACGACCCCAGAGTAGGGTGGGCTTGGGCTAGACCAGGGAGAGAGAAGGAGATGGAGAGAAGAGCCTTGGTACTTTAGCCCCATGAGGACCCCTCTGAAAAGCCGAGAGCACACTTTGAGGTGGGGTCATGAATTATTTCACCTCTCTGTCCCAGACACATTTGTCTCTTCAAGGTTAACGAAGAGGCAAAAACAGTCCAAGGAAAGGAACACTTTGACCAGGTGATGGATTAAAACAGTCACCCCAGCGGGAGACTTTCTAGCTGTTCGGCTCCCGAGTCTGCTTGGTATAGCAGCCAGGCAGGAGCCACCTGGCCAAGGGCTGGACACACCTTCTTCACTCTTCTTCTAGGTCTCCTTTGTCAACCCAGGATCGAGGAGGCGGCAATTAGAGCCAACTGGGCCCGAGGGTGCAGAGGCTTATGCAAGGTTGGGCTGCAGCTGGGAAGAGAATGTGAGTCTGCCTCTGCCCAAGCAGTGACTGGTAGAGGGATTCTGCTTGGGGATCCCTGAGGACAAATCTCGTTCCCTGCCTTCTGGAACGGTGGCGCCTTCGTCACCCAGCTATGAAGTCAAGCATGGCGCTGGCACAGTGTTCTCCTCACAGCATCGTGATTCTGGGAGAGGGACCAGCAGATTCTCTGGAGAGGGACCACCGGAGGTCCTAAACATACCTAAGGCCAACTCAGGAGGCACTTTCCTCCTTTCTCGTCCCTGTGAATTGAGCCCTCTCTAGAGCTGGGTCCTTTAGGGACAATACACTCAGGGACAGAGATTCAGTTGCAAGCCCTGGTTCTGCTAATAGGATTAGCTGGGGGAACTTGGCCAGGAGTCAGTGATCATGTTGGTTTCTGACTCGTCTGCCTGGCGCAGCTGTGACGACAAAATAGCAGCGTGCGTGCCTATGAAAGCGAACAGGCTGAGATCCTACGATGATGCAGGGAGGCACTGCCTTACTCCAGCTCCCAGTTGCCTCCTAATTTAGGGATAGTAAGGTAAAGGGGTAAGAATAAGACAAACATCATGACCGCCTCTGACCGTTTCCCTCTAAGCTTTCCTTGAGAACCTACGGTTAAAAATCCATAGCCCTCAGAGGACGATTCGCTCCTCCTGGGGACTCCATAGACTCCAGGCCCCTCCTAGGCTCTCATTTTCTTCCATCTGCTCACAGAAGACAGTTTCTGAGAGGGTAGCTGCAAAGGAGGGCCGGGACTAACTTACTTCTTTTCCTGTCGTGGAAGTCTCCTTATTACTTCTGCCTCCATGGACAAAACTGGGTTCTTGAGCCATTGTGATAGCTCCCCGTCCCCCGAATCATGGGTCACTCCTTCCCGCCAGATCAAAGGTTCCCTAGGATGAGGCATCTCACATCAGAAGAGGTGGAGCAGCTGGGGACACAGGCGCCTTTGCTACATGGCTCCCTCCTCTCCATCCCACAGGCTGTATATACCCTACTCACCTCCAAGACAACGAATCTTTCAGAAGCAGACGGCCAGACACTTCTTTGTGTGGGGGCTGTGGGTAGACTAACAACCCCCCCAACTCCCATGGACTCCTCCACCCATTGGTTTCCCCCCCCCTACACACACATTCTGGACCCTCTCTTCCACGCGGACCTAACTTTACCCTGGGCAGCAAATACACTTGCTGAATGACTGGCAAGCCCCTTGGCACAGTCTGTTGATCACAAGCCGCTGTTGAACTCTATACCGGGTGCACTGATGTGAGAAGACAGTGCGGTTTCAGCGGCTTCCCTTGGAGGATGTGAACGTGGAGGGAAGAGGGAGGGAGGGAAGGCTCCTCATGATGTAGGTTGCTGTGCATCCCCAGCAGAAGGGATGTGACACAACCATCTGGAATGAGTCTGGGTGGGTGGAATTGGTTGCAGAGCGTGCAGCGTTTGGGCTGCGCTTTGGCGAATGAGCTGGGGATTCCAGGCCAGGCCGCTCAGGGCAACGGTTCTCAACCTGTGGATCAATCTCCCTTTGGAGGGACTGAACAGCTGTTTCACGGGGGTCCCCTAAGACCATCGGAATATGCAGATGTTTATATTAGGGTGCGTCATAGTAGAAAAACTTCAGCTATGAAGCAACAACGAAGCAATTTTCTGGTTGGGGGGCTCACCACAGCATGGATCTGTGTTAAGGTGTCACAGCCTTAGGAAGGTTGAGAGCTACTTACTGACTTAGGGAATCTTCATGAGTTTGGACAGGGCTGATCTGGATGAAGAGCCTACCATAAAAAAATCATACCTGTTTAAGCCTCTCCTCCTCATAAGTCAATGGCCATAGTCAAACACTCCTCAGGATGGATGAGGAAAGACATATGCAATGTGTGCTACGGAAACTTGCCTGTATGGGCGAAACAGTGTGTTTGGATCTGCTCTCCTCTGAAAGGGAATGGAGAGTTTGCTCATGGGAATGAACCTGGTCTCCAAAAGGGCTCTAGGACAGAGGATCAAGGAATAAAAACAGAGGCTATTACTGTGCATCCAAAAGGGGCCAGGTGCTCTGCACACCTGTCTTATCTATTTCCCATAAGCCTGTAAGTTAACTGTTACACTCATTCACAGGCAGGCAATCAAGGCCCAAAGAAAGGTGAGTTTCTTGCCCAAGTTGAAGTAACTATTACCCTGATCATTTCGTAGACAAGGAAGTTGAGACTCACAGGTGGACTGTTTGCCCAAGATCACCCAACCAGAAATTAGCCATATCTGACTTTACACTCAAATGTTTCTGGCCTCAAATTCAACGCTTCCATCATAAGATGGCAGTTTGAGATGAGACAGCTCTAACACCTGCCAGAAAGCTATCTCTTAGCGTCTTCAGTTTCAGATGCTCCCACCCAAGCGACTGGCTTGCATTCTTACCACACTTTATAGTATATAAAATCTTCCCATGTCCATTATCACCTATATCCTAACAACAGCCCTATAAAGTTAACAGGGCAGGATGAATGTTCCAATTTACAGACAAGGAGGATGATTCTCAGGCTGTCCAGTTGAGGTCATAGGCCGGAGCAGTTCAGAGCAGGAAGATAATCCAGGGCTTACGGGCTCCTGGAAAGACTATCTCCCTCATCTATATGGACAGGTGGGTGAATCCAACCCAGCTGTGTGGGACACTACCTTCTCTACAATTCTGAAACCTGGTGAACTTTTGAAGCCATGCTAGCTCAGAGGCACTTGAATACCTCTCGAAAGAAATGTGCTTTAGTAGACTGCTGTCCGTACGGGCAGGCAACCTTGGTCAAAACTCCAGCCCTATGCTCTACTGGTGTCCTTGTACACTCTGATCTGCATGCCAGGACTTGGGGCCCAGCTTAGACAGAGACATGGTTCCTGGACACTGTGGCAGCCTGGAGACAGAGAAAGGGAAAAAGCCAGGGAAGGCAAATGGGAGCCATGCAGGAGAACTGTCCCCCGGGGACAGCATATGGCTCTGTGATAATGTGGTAGCCATGTGAACAGGTCCCTGTCAAGAGCTCCTTGCGTATCCCAGCTGACGTTCCTGTGCTCTGTTCCTAGCCCCTATAGCCCTATGCATGTTCTAGAACACCTATGCTGATACAAGCACCCGCGGCTTCTTCACGCATCTCTATCCAGGTGTGTCTAGGGATCTACGCATGGCAAAGCACCTTGTCCATTGTCCTAGAATTGTGCCTGGTGGCAGGGGAGGGAATGGGCAGGAGTTGCAGAATAACTAAGATCTCCACCCCCCCAACCCTGCCTTCTTTCTGTTTCCTGTTATTTTAGTGACTGACCAGGGACCTCACATTCTCTGCTTAGGTAAGACCCGGAATTGCCCAACAGCCACCTAGAGAATGCGCTGTTTGGCCTCAGTCCCTGCCTTGTTCCTCTCCAGGTCACCCCTTCTTGACCCCCTTGGCTGCCGCCTATCCACTTTCCCCTCCCACCTCCCACCACACCCCGCTCAGGTATGTACAGTAGAATCCCTCCAGCTCCTTGGGCCCCGCTTGGTGCTAACTTGCAATTCCGGACCATGCTGACAGTGGACCCTGCCTCCTGTTCACCACAGCTCAGCTATAACCCTCCGCCTGTGATAACAGGGACTTGCTCTTGGTTCCGGGGCTCAGAATCTTTCCCCAGCCTCTGACATGCCTCCTTCCTGTCCCTCTGTGTCTCTGCCTCAGACCCCATGGACTGGTGTCATCGAGAAGAAGAGGCAGTGCCCCCCCACACACACAGTTGCACACCATGTCCGTACACATTAAACAATCACCCCTACTCTTTAACAAGTCTGGCGTTTTGCTTGGTTTTAACGACGGAGGTGGTGGTGGTGGTGGGGCAGTGTTTCGGTAAGTGCTTGCGTTGAATAAATAGAGTTTGAAAGAGTTCTTATCGCTGGCTGCCCTTTCACTGAGTTTGTTGGGGTGGAGAGAGAGAGAGAGAGAGAGAGAGAGAGAGAGAGAGACAGAGACAGAGACAGAGACAGAGACAGAGAGAGACAGAGACAGAGAGAGACAGAGAGAGAGAGAGAGAGAGAGAGAGAGAGAGAGAGAGAGAGAGAGAGAGAGAGAGAGAGAGAGAGAAGCACAGGTAGGAACAAATCGGGGAAAGATCAGTAATAAAGTGTGCCCATGCCGTAGCTGCTTCTGGAGGGCTGCTGCCAGAGCTGAGCATACACTTTCCAAGGAGGGCTGCATTTGAGCAGGCACAAAGAAATATAGGACAGTCTCCTGAGCCCTAAACAATGCTGCCGCTTTTAGGCTCAGTGGTGCCACACCCACCTCCCAAATCTTTGCCCGAGTGAGCAGATGTAGACACCCATGATGGATTTGAACCTGGAATTCAAGACACTGCCCTGGAAGAGCAAGCCGGCTTACTCGTGGTTGGCTAGGAAAGCTACACACCTTGTTTCCTCCTCTATTTTGATTTTGGGGAAACTCTAGGGCACTGCCCAGGTTGGGCATCATCATCCGTTCCCCCACTCAGAGCTAGAAGGTGATCAGAAGCTTGTGTGCCCAGATTCACCCTGTTGCCTTCTCCCTTTCCTCCCTACCTAGGGCCGCACCTGGCCGTGTTTCTTTAGACATGGACATCCAGACTTGACCAGAGAAGGCGAGATCCATTGCAGAGAAACTCCTCCAAATGAGAACGCCTTAAATCCTGCACCGGGATGTTGCTGGGGGCAGGGGGGTGGGGGCGGCGTTAGGAGGACTGGATGGAAATGGAAGGACAGAGAAAGGAATGAGGAGCAAGGTGCCTCAAGACACTGAGGCTTCAGTTTCACAAATCAGGAATCCTGCTGGTCACCCAGTGAGCCCTCACAGCCAGCGCTGAAGCTGGAATGCAGCCGCCACCACCAAAAACCAATTGCTCTTCCTGCTTCTCTCGTCTAGGAAGCCGACCCACCTTGACATGATCCACACAGCTTGGCTTGGAGGGCTGTGCACACATGTTCCGAAGCCTTGCTCCTGCTTGGTTCTGCAGATAAAAGAGATAAGAGTATGGTGAGTGGGGTTGAGAAGACCCAGGTCCAGTTTTGGAAAGCAGATGACCTCATGGTTGGTGAGACAAAGGAGGAAACAGCAGAGCAGAAAAACAGGCCTGGGGAACACAAGGCTGTAGGACCAGAGGCTCACCCAGGGGCAGGCTGTGGACTTTGATACCTTCTTTCGCTCATCGGATCTCTGGGGGGGGGGGTTGCCCTACTGGGGCCTAAATGACTTCCAGTCAGATGCTGAGTGAGTGAGGTCAGAGCTTGTGGGGTTCCCCAGGGCTCGTGATCTTCCTCTAAAATAACAAAGTTTTCCACAAGCCCATGAGACCCCATCAACAAGTTCCTCAAAGCCAGAGCTCAGACTCTCCCCTGATATCTTCAGGGTGGGGGACTAGAGACAAGGGCCAGGCTCGGTGATGGGGTCAGGCAGGCGCCACCATCCGCATGAGCATTCTCAAGGTGGGATTAGCCTATGGTCATTGCACCCGGGCCGCGCCCTACCTCACCAAGGTGGAGCCCAACCGTCTTCCACTGGTAACGTGGATGAGAAGGTGTCGGGGCCAGGCTAGGTAGTCAACACAAGTCAGAGGGCAAGAGGAGAACTGATGTTCCCATCCGTACGCGACTTCAGGGTGAGTCCTGAAAAAGCACACGGCAATGCAATGTGGAGCTTTAAATGTGTGAACCATCGGAAGGAAACCAGAAGATAGACATGGGCACACTTATGCAGCAACCCCCTCAAAAAAACCAAAAAAAAAACCAAAACCAAATCACTACTGTAGCACGCTGATCCATTTTCACATGAAGAATGCATCAAAATTGCTGTCCAAAAAAATAAATAAATAAAAGCACACACGTACACCTCAGGAAGTGGAAGTAGCTTCCTGGCACTGCTTATCCCGGCCTCTGTCTTCCTGCTTCCTTCCTTTTGGCCCCTCCCCTAGAACTTTCCAAAGAAGCAGAGTGTGAATGGAGCTAAAACTGTAGGCCACAGGAGGAAGAAAAGGTGGCGAGAGAAGGCGCGTTTGGGGGAAAGACATATGAAAGCTCTTCAACCAGTGAGACCTCCCGACCTGCGAAAACTGAAGTGTGTGTGCTTGCGTACACGTGAAACCTTCGGGTTTCCTCAGAGTCACAACTTGTTTGAGTCGGAAAAGGAGCTTTGAAGGGTTTCAGCACAGGCAGGAATACAACAGAGCCAGCACTAAAGCCCTGCTTGCCAGTCTCCATGACAGACATGGCAGCCCCTGGGTAGTGCTGGTGTGTGTGTGTGTGTGTGTGTGTGTGTGTGTGTGTGCCCGCTCACCTGCTAACCTCTGCCAGCTTTATGAGCTGAGCTGGCACTCAAGGCTTTTGAACCTAGTGACTGGAACAAACTCCACTCTCAGAGAGCACTGTGTCTGATGTCACTACCCTCACTGCCCTGCCTGCCCTGACTCCATCCCTGAAGACCCCACTGCCTGCCAGCCACCAGCAGGCTGGACCTTCTGCTGACCAAACTGCCTGCAGACACCTTCCAAGAGGGCCCAGAGCAAAAGCCACGGCAGAGAGAGTCACCGGAACCAGGGAGAGGAGGGACTGGAGAGGACTAAGAAGCCAGAAACCTAGAGTTCCTCAGAGACTACGCAGAGTTTTAGCCATGGATACACATGCCCACACACTACACACATCAACACACACATGCAAACAAGCTATGCTATAATACGTTCACAATTCAACATATACATACTCAACATGTAACACATACACATATAGTGTATGTATGCATACATGCCACATATCACACAAGAGTAAAAACACATATATGCATGTCCCACTGTACTGTACACACATATTCATAAGTACATACCACATACAACAAATATTATGCAACACGTATGCAACACAAACCACTTATGTACGCACACTAACACACTATACACACAGCACATATACACATTCACATGCTAAATGCACACATAGCACATAACACTACATATTCTACACATACACACACTGTACATATTAACAAATGCTACATAACACACCCACAGCACACCACAAACATAATAAGTACCACCTCCACATACACCTTGGTCATTCTATGTGTACACTTCACACACTATGACATACAAAACGCACACACACACAGATGCATACATTACATACTACATGCATATCGTATCTACAAATCAGATTCTGCATACCCACCAGTCAAATATCACACACATACACACACACACACACACATACACACGCACACTTTATTAGTGGCTCTCAATGAATGTTGACTTTGCCCCTTGAAGACGTTGGCAGGAAAGGCTATTGTCACCCAGCGAATGAAGGTTCAGATGCTACTAAGCGTTGTGAAATGCCTGCATCAGGTCCTACAGGAAAGCAGTGTTCACAGTACCCAGGCCCAGCGACAATTCCAAATACAGAAACCTGCATCTCAGGCTCATTCTCACGCTTAAACACAGGTAAACACAGAATCTCATCAACATCTGGATGCCCCAGCCTGCCACATGTGATTCCCCTAGAGGGGGCCACTGGTGTTCTGATGCCCCTCTCCCCAGCTTTGAGGTTAAGCCCAAAGCAAGAAGAACGAGATAGAACGCACCTCTTCTGCACAGCCCCTTGGCCTCTTCTACACTTCAGGTTGGTCCTCGCTGCCTGTTGACCAACTGAGAGGCAGCCCCTTACTGCGTGGGCTGAGGATTTGTCAACAAGGAAATCGATTTAGGAAGAGTAAGATTACAAGTCTCCCAAGTTGAGGCCAGTCCCTGTGACAGAGTGTGAGCTCCCTTCACTCCAACACAGACAGCATACGGTATAAGGACGCCCCTTGGCTCTGGGCTGCCAAATGAATTCCTCTCTCGTACTGGGCAGTACTGTCCAGTGTTGGCATGGGGACATGGCCGTGCCATCTTCAGAATGCTTTCTGTCCCTTCAGAACCAGCAGTCCAAGAGGCATAGGGGGACACCCCTGTCAGCTGCAGGACTGGGAGAGATGAGGGGTGCTATTATCAGGGTTAGGGTAGAGACTTGAGTCCACAGCCTCACTCTGTCCTAAGACCATGATGCGGCGTACAAAGGCAGAGAATTGTGATGTCTAAGTTTGTGACCACCAAGCCATCCCATTTGTGGATCTACTAATTTGGATACTACTACCAGTGTTCCAGCGGCTGCACTACCCGTCCAACAGCAAAGCCGGGTAAAGGCAGGTGAGAAGAAGGGAAAAGGGGGTTAGAAAATTACTTCTCCCTTCTGGCTTCCTGATGTCTCACTCCCCAGCACGATAAAAACAAGCCTGGCGGTTTTATCTGCTCTCCCGCTGGTGACTAAACTGGGGTCTTTTCCTAGAGCTGAAGAGGACAGAGGAGGTGGGGTGGGCCAGCATCAGACAAACACTTGGCTTAATGGGCACAAAGGTCTTGGGTTCAAGGTTTGGATTCTAGACTTCCCCCACCCACCCAGCTTGAACTCACTGACCCCTAGGTGGGTGGGGAAGGCAGCTAATCGAAATAGTTGTTTGCTCAGGGATGTATGGCCTGGCCTTAGGCCCAAGAGCAGGAATACAAGTCGCTTTCAATTTGAAGGTGGCCCCTTCCATACACCACTCACAGAGATACCTCGGGTTTTGCTCCTAAGAGCCTCCTCCGCACCCATGCTTGACTACCCGCACAACACACGTGACACACCCCACCAAGCCAACACACGCTGCATCATACATACCACACCTAGATACGAGACACACACCACATACCATTACTGCATGTGTATTAAGCACAACACATGCACGCATACTTCATTTAAGCACGACACATGCACACATACTTCATGCACCATGCACATTACACGAAAAGCACGTATCACATGCATATCGCATACATGAAACACACAGTACATATAACACACCAACGAACACACAAGATTCCCTGCGTATGTCTTACAGGGCCGTAGTCAGCATGAAAGCTTGCACACAGAAAGCACAGGCATGCTGCGTACACATACCGCCTGCACATTAGACGCTCACTGTACCACACACTCACACTTCCCTTGTTGAGCCCTCCTGAGTGGGGGGAAAACAAGCTGGAGCTGGTTAGTGACATGCAGACACCTACGACTTCAGAGAGCCAGGCGTCATCCCAGCTAATTGGTCCCCTGGGTGGCAGCAGAATTTTGGATAAGACAGAGTTCCAGTTTCTTCCATATAAGGAAGGTGGACCAGAGATGCCTCTGGGTGGGCTCCGTTGAGGTCCAATGCAGCCACCGGGGATGCCTGTGACCCTGTCTGGGTGGGCCTTCTCACCGCTGCAGAAATCACTTGGCCTGCTAGAGTGCATGAGGAAGTACAGACAAGGTGAGCTTTAGGGTCAGTGATGGTTTGGGGCTTTACGCCCCTCGCTTCTGTGACCTTAGGGACTTGTTTTTAGCACCTGGAACATCAGTCTTCTCTCCATGGGTAACAACTTCCTCATAAGGTCATCTGAGTTTGAGTGGATAATTATAGAGCCTAGTGACAGCGACCCAATGTCGCTCTGAGAAAATGGCCAGATAAAATTCTCTAGAGCATATAAAAATAATTTTTTCATTTACCTGCCCCCCCCAATCAGTTTTACCTAAGCATTCTTATACCTCTTATTTCAAGACAAGGTCTCTCTGACTGGTCTCTATCTTTCCTCTTTCCTGCCCCTAACTGTGCAATGCCACCTCACTGGACCCAACCTGTATCTCACCTGGTAACCTACCCACCCCAATAAGCAAGATCTTCCATGGATAGATTTTTATACCCTGACTCACTAGCTTGGGGATGTAAATTTACATCTTTAAGTGGTAGTGATGAAGACAGCCCACAGCCAAAAAAGCAAAGAATGTTCATCAGGCACTGGAGTGGGCTTACAACACCTAAAACACTTGCATGTACGCGCTCTCTCTCTCTCTCTGGTTCTTTACAAAAAAAAAAAAAGCAGTTGTCAACTCAACGTCGGTGAGAACTAAGTCTTTGCTGTTTATATACCTGTTCTGCGTCAGGCAAAGACATTTAACCCTGGGAGACAAGAGGACTTAAATTCCCAGGGCTTGTGGAGAGAGACAGGCAGAAGCTTCTCTATCCTGAAAAAAAAAAAGCCTTTTCTTCTCCTCACCGCCAAGAGTCCTTCAAGGGAGCCGGCC